AATTATAATATAAACATCAGATATCATTTTTACTTTCAGTGCTGGCAATATGATTTTCTAGTATCTGCAAACATACTTTTCCCCCATGTAACATTTACACATTTCAGGAAATAACTGACCTCTTCAAAATCCTGTCAAACCACAATGAGTAAAATTAACCTACTTCAAAAATATTACTATTTGCTGACCTCACACCCATTAGAATGACTATTATCAAAAGCAAAACACAATAGAATAACACATGTTGAGGCTGTGGAGAAATCGGAATCCTTGTGCACTGTTGTTGGGAATATAAAATGATGCAGCTGCTATTTTGAAAGCAGTGTGATGGTGGTTCCTCAAATCATTCCTGTGAGCTTACTACACCCATACCCAGAAGGTGCTCCCACCCATCCTCATCCCTCCTCCCTTTGGGTCCCAGCAGTATCTCCCTCGTTGAGTGACTCCTTGGACACCTCTCCTATAGCCCAGGTTCATCCCAGACCACCCAGAAGCCCAACCCAATTCCCAAGTCCAAGCTGATATTTCTAGGAAGCCAATTCATTTTCATTCCATCTTCCTCAAATCCTTGAGATCCTATTTACTTCCTATTCTGTCCATCCTCAAACCTATTCTCTCCAAAAACCAGATCTAAATGCTACCGAATATGAAGCTTTAACCCACAGCAAAATCTTCCAGAGCTCCAGGCCCTCCAAAAAATGCTCTTCTATCAGCTCAGCCAGCCCTACCATATCTGTTAGAGTGCATAAGAACTACCAGGACAGCTGGCTGAACTTGCAGGTTGCCAGGCCTCAGCAGGCCTAAACGTGGAGCTTTGGAATACACACTTTAAAAAAGCCCAGCAAGTGATCTAAGGCAGCCTAACACTAACCTAGACTCTCTAGCCTGAACCTCCACCCAATCAAGGCCTTGGAAACAAACTTCAGATCATTTGTGCCTACATTTATGAGCATAATTTTAGCTTCCCTCCATCCTTCCTTGCAGATAGATGTGTGAATAACCTGAATGTTCATTGTACTAGAAAGACCACATATGTCACAGTGTAGCTTAGTTTACATCTGTTCTCAGGGTTGCATGTATCTGCCCTGACAGACCTCACAGCTATGACAATCTTTTAAGAAGAAAGGCAACTTCCTAAGGGAGGAAACAATGTTTCTTCAGAGGTCAGCCTGCCTGATTCACTTTCTAAAGGATTTCTTGCCTTATACCAACTTCAGTTGACCTTTTAAAATAATTTCTTTAAAAATGCTTTGAATGTTTCCAAGAATGGATTTGTTGTAATTATTTTGTAATTTCAAATTTTTATCACTGACGTTATCCATGAATACACAAATCACTTAAAAGGAAAAAGGAGTCATAAAATATTAAGAACTGCCTGGATGTTTAAAAAGTATGAATTTTAAATTCTGAACAAATCAATACTCTGTTTCCTATATTAAAAAATCCATATGGACATAGCTATTTTCAATTATAAGTGACTCATTTCTATACCAGACATGCCTGCGGACTAAGACAAGAGCAATCTGATAAGAGGGGAAAAAAGGTCACCTGAATAATGCAGTGTAATGGAAAGATCACTAGACGCTGGGCCTGCTGTTCCAAGACCAGTTCTGCCATGGCTGGGCTGTGACCTGACTGCGGGGCAAGGGCAACTATTTCCCTGTCTTTAGCCATGATGACCTCAGAGCCTTTGGAAATACATTAATATACATGAAATGACTTAAGTTGCTGCTACTTCAAAGGCTACAATCCAAATTACTCCAGACTGTGCAATTTTTGCAGTGCTGGCAGGTGTTCTACACTGGAAAGTTCCTTTCCTCAGGTGATTCACGGAGGGTCTGCTCTACCCAAGGGTTTATGCTAGGTACTGAGGAGGAGGAGAGAGAAATCAAGGCTAAGAGGTTCCACATATTTGCAACCTTATTGGAGAAAAAAGTATTTATAGTGATTTCATCATTTCCAGGTGGCAAAGTGAGTGTTGCACACAATGATCACTGTAACTCTCAGTCTTCTTGTCCATGAGACGGTAAATATACTGTTAGTCAATCCTGAGACAGAATGTGCAAACCATATAGACGTTTTTAGTGTCTCATCCTTGTGACAGTAGACTGGTCTGGCAGCCCAGTGAAGGGAATGACGTGGAAAAAAGGCTTCTCAGAGAAAGTGAGCATCTGTTAAGTACACTGGGAATTTCATCCTTAAAATAATCCCATGAAATAGTAATGTTCTCATTTTGTGGATGAAAACCCATTTTAGAAAGAGAAGTGACATGGCCAGGACACAAAGCAAGTAACAAGGTCAGGATTTGAATCTAAGTCTGTTCTGACTAAAAAAAGTCTGATATCTCTCAACTCTATCACAGATATGCTCAGTAGATAAAGAGGGGAGAGAAGAAGAAGGCATTCTGGGTAGAAGGATAAAAATAAGCCCAAGCTTGAAGCTTTAAAAAAAAATTGCCAAGTCTAGTGGGAGTGTGGGGGGAGAAGGCACTGGGCAGTTTTGTAAAATAAAGTTAGAGCACAGATTGTGACGAGGCTAAAAGTACAGATGGCTTAGAAATGGGGACTTAATCCTAAAGATCCATAAAACGGAAATGGAGGTTGTAAGCAAGGGAGTAGAGGATGAAACCAGAGCACTTAGAAAGGTGAACTTCATAGCAGGACAGAGATGGACTCCAGAAAGTGTATGGCATGATACAGAACAAATTATTATTTAGAATTCCAAGCACCTCAATATTTAAATAAACCCAGTAACAATACTTTTATAATAAAATATTATCAAACTATCTCTTGTATGCATCTTTCTTAAAACACACTCAAAGCGCTGGCTGGTGTGGCTCAGTTGTAGGGTGCCGTCCCATGCACCAAAGGGCTGGTTCCATTCCTTATCAGGGCACATGTTTCTCTCTCTCCCTCTCCCTAAAATCAATAAAAACATATTTTTTAAAAATCTCAAGACACATTTTTAAAAACAGCTCTTGTGTCCTACTAACTCTAATATAGGGTGGAAATTCCTTCCACCTCCAAATGCATCTAAGAAAGAACACTCCTTAGATCAGGCCACATTTAAAAACCTTGCCCAGCGTGCCCACAGCAGGAAGGGCCAAAAAGGAGCAAGAGGGGAGATTTCAACTCACAAACTCCTTAAAGAAAAACAAAGTTGCAAAAAGGCTGTATCTTTACATTTACAGAAACACTCAAAACGTTTTGTCAGGGAAACAAGGACTGACAAATTAGAGACTGCCTTTCACTAACCCCACATTTACTTTTCGCCCACATTTATAGTTTCCACTTCCCACACACAATCAATACAAAAGCATCGGTCTCATCACTGTAGGGCCCAATTTCCTTTCGCTTATGGACGCAGAACCTTTTTTTCCCCCCTGCTTTTTTTTAAAGGTCTAGACCGGTGCAGTTCCTGCCTCCTTGGCAGCTCAGGTTCCCCATCCCATTCAATCTTTACCACAGGAAAATTAAGCTGCATTCCGACACCGAACTCTGAGCTGCAACAAGCCTAGGCTCCGAGTTGCTTAAACACACTTGAGACCTGGCGCGGGATCATATGAAGTCCTTTAGTAAGGATCAGATGGACGGCAATAACCTAATTAGCCAGCAGAGCACACGTGACACCGGCCCGACTGCACCCTGGGTCAAAGACACAGCTGGACTCATTCACCCACAAGGTGATCACCACCTCAAAGGGGAACTGGGAGAGAATAAGGAAACTTGGCCAGGAAAATCTGGAGGGACGTGTGCAGCTGCGGTTTTCAAAGAGAATT